AAATACTGTGGGCAAAGTATTTATGCTCTTCTGTCAGTAGCTTTAGAAATACAATCTGACTTTAGGTCAAAGTTTTAACTAAGATTTAGGTCCCTATTGCTCAGTGACTAGTCCAATCCCCAATTTCCTGTACCCTTGTCAGACTCCACGTTACACAACACAAGCCCTGTCTGTGTGGATGCTGACACCCTCTGTTTAGCCCTGGAGCACAGATGTGGCTTCATCTGTGCAGAGGTCCTAATGCCCTTGAGTTTTGTCTTTGGGAAGTTACAAACATGGTGACACTACTGCAAATGTGTCCAGACTCATCTTGCCTCATCAGTCATGAAACCAAACTGGGAAACCTAACCATCATCGATTAGGGACTAAAAGGCTTTGTTCATGATAAACATAACCATGTGCATTCTGAGTATATTTCCAATCTTTCACATCCCTCTGTCTAAACTACAGCAATGAATCTATAACCTTGGGAGAAGGCAGTTTAAATGCACCTCCACCCTTTTTGGGTAACAGCCCACAATCTAGAGGTTGGGATATTCCTTTCATCCATCCTTGATATGACAGGGACAATTATCTTTAGACAAAAGCCTTACCTTTCATCATGATACTACTTTCTATTTCTAAGTGTGCACCAGCCATCCTCATGTCTTTTTACAAAGATTTCTTAACATTTTCCTCCTGTGTGCTCTGTCTGCAGTTACCTGCCACAGCTGCATATATTATGCCTGTCTGCCTCAGGTGCCTACAAATTCTAACATTTTAGTGCTATGTCAAAAGGCATTTGCTTATTCACCTGCCAGTGTAACCCATCCCAGGGAAGAGTCCACGCCCTTGATATCTTTACTCAGGCTCTCCGTGGGCTCCGCCGCTCTAAGTGGATCACGGGTGTGCTCATGGCTGCGCTCCTGGCCACCAGTTCATCTGTCCACAGCTGCTACTGCAATTGTGTCTTTCACTCAATTCATACAGACTATGAAATATGTGAAATGGACTATTCTTAGTGTCTCAACAGCCCTTAATATTCCAAAGTCTAGTGATAAAAAAAACAAAAAAAACAAAACTGCTCACCCTAACAGCACCAGTGGGAAACATGCTTTTGTGTACAAGCTCAAGTGCATATGGTCACTGTGGGGCTGTCTACCCGCCTCCACCTAAGCCAGTGAACCCCTACTGTAATTGTGTGCATTCCATTAGTTTCATTCCATTAGAGTCCTGGTTCACACAGCAGCAGAGCTCACTAAATTTGGGGTGGAGTTTATTATTTAATACAGTGCACACAAAACACTCATAAGAGTATATTTCAGGGTGCAATATCATAACACCAATCATATTTTATTAGGTCTAAAGAGTGAAGGGTTTTGATGGTATTGAAATAACTTGAGATGCTCTTCATACAAACTATTATTTTCAGGGAAACCTTTGAAAATAACTAGATAATGCAGTAATTAATAATTTTATATATGTGGATACTTCTTTTAAAAATTATGTGGCAGACAGACTTTTAAAATATTTACATACTTTATTTACCAGAATATTTAATCCTGCTCTTTCACTACTACTGAGTGGATGACTTGTCATAATTCCCACATTTATTTCTCCATTGGTTTTAACCAAAACCATGTCTGTGTTCTGGTTACTTACTAAATACATAATGTATAAAAAATACATTTCAAGTAATTTAGATGAAAGCAAATATTAAAATCTCAAATAAGTAATATCCTATTTAAATTTTGAGTAAATAAATATATATTCTTTATTAATAAATGAGGAAATAATAAATAACAAAAATAAGATCTGAAAACAAATATTAAAAAATCAAAAATAATATCTTTTTAAATTTTTGAACAGGTGTTCTTTGTTAGTACATTAAATAAATTACAAATTAATAGAAAACAGTAACATCTGGCAAAACTCATATATCTTTAAGACCCTATTTATTGAAAATAATATTGGTTAAGTAGGTTAACAACTCCATTAGGAACCTTCAGCAGTTAATTAATATTTTAATCCCTAAATACATCTGTACAATGTTGCAAAAAGGGTTTTACTTTCTAGGAGTGAAAATTAAACTATAAAAATCATGAAATAGAAGGAGGGAGGGAGGCGTTGAAGGGAGGGCAGGGGAATGGGGAAAAAATAAGATCCAAGAGTGATTATGTAAAGGTACAAATTTCCAACAGTGAATGTCATTATAGTGTATACATTAAAAGTACCAATAATATTAATTTTTTTAAAAAGCATGAAAGAATGTGCTTGACATGTATTTCTACTCTCGCTACCTAATTTTCTCCATCACCTCATAAGCTGGCAGTTTGTCTCGTGTATGAGTCACAATCACAGAAGACTAACAAATACATAAAAACTGAAGAAATCTGAATATGTTGTCAAATTCATCCATGATACTGAATATAAAATTTACGAGTAATTATTTTTGAGATAAATTGAATAAAGGATATACTTAATCTCTCTGTATTATTTCTTAGAGTACCTACATGCAACTTCATGATAACTTCAAACAATTTTATGACAACAAATTGAACAACCTAGAAGAAATGAATAAATTCCTACAAACATATAACCTACCGAGCCTAAATCAAGTTGGAAATCTGAACAGGCAAATAATGACTGAGAAGATTGAATCAGGAGATAGAAGTCGCCTATCAAAGAAAAGCCGAAGACAAGATGCCTTCATAATGGAAATCTACCAAACTCAAAAAAAAAAAAAAAAAAAAAAA